GGGGATCACTTGAGGTCAGGAGTTTGAGACCAGCCTGGCCAACATGGCAAAATCCCATCTCTCTTAGTAATACAAAAAATTAGCCGGCTGTGGTGGTGCGCGCCTGTAATCCCAGCTACTTGGGAGGGTGAGGCAGAAGAATTGTTTAAACCTGGGAGGTGGAGGTTGCAGTGAGCAGGGATCACGCCACTGCACTCTAGCCTGGGTGACAGAGAAAGACTCCATCTCAAAAAAAAAAAAAAGGTGGGGGAGATTAAGATGGGTAAATGTGATAGGTATTTTACCACAATCTTAAAAGAGGTCCCAAAGTTAGCAACTCAGATGTGGCTTTGCAAGTGTGGCTGACATTGTCTAAACTCACTAATACCTGGGTTTTCTCCCCTGCCCAGGAACAGGAAAGACTCTCCTCTCCAGCACCCCTTGGCTAAGGGTGATTGTGTGGGTTGTGAGCTCCAGTGACATGGGAGTCTGTGTATACATCTTCCCTTGCCCCGTGGTCACCTCACGTGGAGGTGGACAACTTGTGACCTCTAAGTGACCCAGATTGGCCAGACACCACATGGAGGTCAGTTGCCTGGGAGCAGCACCCAGGCTGTGTTGACAATGTGGAGAGAATACGTTTTTCTGTGTTGCATCAAGCCATTAAGATGTAGGGGATGTTTGTCACTGCAGCATAACCTGGCCTATTCTGACTGATATACCAGCTTTGCTGGAACCACAGCAGATCTGGCACCCTGGAAATAGCTGGCTGGAGCTGCCAGGAGCTACAAGCATCAATGGTTCCTATTCTCCGCTTGTAGACTCTTAGATTTGGGATGGTATCTGAGTATCTTTGAGCTGCCACACTGAGGTGTCATTAACTGGGTGGCTTAAACAACAGAAATTTATTCTCTTACTATTCTAGAGGCTTGAAGTCCAAGATCAAGCCTCTCATCCAACATGGTAGGTGTTGGCTGGGCTTGAGGGGTCTGTCCCAGGCCTCTCTCGCGTTCCACCCCACTCTACATCTTTCCACCTTGTCTTCCCTCCGTAGCTGTTTGATTCCAGATATCCTTCTTTCTTTTAGTGACAGCATGTTGCTCTGTTACTCAGGCTAACGTGTAGTGGCACAATCACAGCTCACTGTAGCCTCGACCTTCTGGGTTCAAGCCATCTTCCCACCTCAGCCTCCCAAGTTGCTGGGACTACACGCATGTGCCACCATGCCTAATTTTTTTTTTTTAGAGGCAGGGTTTCGCCATCTTGCCCAGGTTGGTCTTGAACTCCTGGGCTTAAGCAATCCTCCTTCCTCAGCCTCCCACAGTGCCAGGATTACAGGCATGAGCCACTGCACCCAGCCCAAATGTCCCCCCCTCCCTTTTTTTTTTAAAGACTCAGTCTCGTTCTTGTCTGCCAGGCTGGAGTACAATGACGTGATCTCGGCTTACTGCAACCTCCATCTCCTGGGTTCAAGTGATTTTCTTGCCTCTCAGTCTCCTGAGTAGCTGGGATTACAGGCGTGTGCCACACATTCAGCTACTTTTTGTATTTTTAATAGAGATGGGGTTTCACCATGTTGGCCAGGCTGGTCTTGAACTCCCGACCTCAGGTGATCTGCCCGCCTCAGCCTCTCAAAGTGCTGGGATTACAAGCATGAGACACTGCACCTAGAAGGTTCTTAAGAGAATTCCCATGGCCACAGAAGCTGGGTGTGTGAGTGCTTCTGTGTGTGTTCGCACGCCTGTGTGTGCGTGACGGTTTCTACCTTCTGCTCCTCTCTGGGGTGAAGGCAGACCATGACATGAAGAGAGTGGAGGAAAGCCGGGAGGGGCTGTCAGGTTTGATCTTTGCAGGTTTGTTTTTGACTCAACGCTGGCTCTGGAAATGGACTGACGTTGGGGTGGGTGTGGAATAGAGGCTGAGAGGAGAGGGAAGCTTTCAAAGCTGTAGCCATGGGAAATGTTTTTATTTTCTGCTTGAAAGAAAATGCCAAAGAAGGATAAAAAGGAAAGAAAAAGGGGGAGGGAGGGAGGTGATGAGAGAGACTGTGTGTGTGTGTGTGGGGGGGGGGGAGAAAACCAGGGTGCCGTTTTGTACGCTTGGCCATGCATGGTGGCTTACACCTATAATCCCAGCACTTTGAGAGGCTGAGGAGGGAGGACTGCTTGAAGCCAGGAGTTCAAGACCAGTCTGTGCAACATCATGAGACCCTGTCTCTATAAAACATTTAAAAAAAAAAAAGCTATTGAGTTTCAGACAAAATATTTCAGGGGCTAAAAGAAAAGAAAAGAAAAAAAAGCTGGCGTGGCGGCACATGTCTGCTATAATCCCAGCTACTTGGGAGGCTGAGGTGGGAGGATCGTTTGAGTCCGAGAGGTTGAGGCTGTAGCGAGCTGTGGTTGCACCACTGCAGTCTGGGCGACAGAGCGAGTCCCTATCTCAAAAAGATGAATAGGGGAGGCCAAGCTTGGTGGTTTGGGTCTGTAATCTCATAGCAAGACCCCGTCTCTCCAAAAAAAAAAAAAAAAAAAAGGTGATCCCAAGGGAGAGGGAATATTGGATTCTTCAGGTTTGCCCAAACCTGAATCTGTGTTAGGTTCTGTGGAATCAGACAGGACCTCTGCTTTCCAAGGTGCCCCCTGTGACCTCACCCCTAGACCCTGCCCCGGGCCAAAACAGGGCCTACTGCTACCCTTCTGACCTTCACTGCCCTCCTCCTTCCCCATGCCAGGCCAGGGAAGGAAACAGCCCTTACCAAGTGGCAGAGAGGGCTGATGGTTAGCACAGTAATGGGTGGTGGGGCGTGTCATGGGAGTGCCCTTGCCTCTACCTTCTCTTAAGTGGGTCTCAGCCAGGCTGGGGGCTCCCAAGGGCACAGGGCCTCCACACTGGGGTCCCCAGCATGCTGTCTGGTTGAGTTCAGAGTGCCTGCTACTTCCCGGCTGCAAGGGCTTGTCGGTCTCCGTTCTCATCTGTTGAGTATGCCTGTACCCAAATCACAGGGTCGTCAAAGCCTGCCTGAAGCAGGGGCCAGAGCTCACCCCAAGGAACTCAGATGGAAAAAGAGGAAACTGGAAAGACTGTGCCTGGGAGCGGGGGTGGGGGTGGGGTGGGGGGGTGGGACAGCCTGGATTTGGGACCTGAGTCCTGTGTTAGGGAGGTGGGGCTGGGGGAGGTGGGTCGTGCAGAGGCGCCTCCGAGGGCCAGGCTGGCCGTGGAATCTGCTGCAGAACTGCGTGCACAGACCTGTCCAGGAGGGGTTCAGAGGCCTAAACAAAGCAGGGAGCTGGCAGGGAGGGCGTGGGGGAAGAAACCTCTAAGAGAAGGGACAGTCCCCTCCCGGGGCACCTACTCCCCACCTAGGTGTAGCGCCTCTCCCGAAACACGTGCTGCCAAGCCCTCCATCAGTCACCCTGGCACTGACATCCATAAATCCCATTAGTCACACCAGCACAAACACATCCAGTCTCATGCAGACAAAGACCCGGGGCCCCAAAGCGGCCGTGTCTGTCCCCAGTGGCTCTTTCCCCATGCCTAGAACTGTGCGGACACCGCAGGCGCTCTATGCAATTGTTGAGCCGACAGCAAGCAGCCCTCGTAATCATAAACGCCCCCTGACCGTGTACTACAGGCCTCCAGATGACCACAGTCGCCCCTTTTACCCATTCCAGCCTCTCCCATACCCTCTGGGTACACACCACTACGGCGGTAATCACCCACCAATGCCCTTGGCCATTCCCTCTTCCGCATCTCTCTGGAGACGGTAGGGCCCACACTACCCCCTCCTCCCCTAAGCCTGTCCTCGGATGGATCTGGCAGAAAAACCATCCCCCAAGGTCACCAGAGCTCTACAGCGGGCGCCCCCGAGAGCTGATTTATAGGCGGTTTATTTGGAGAAACGCTATCGCTCTTAGATTCCGGAGGGGGGGAAAACACGCTCGCGGTGGACTTTAACCTTGGGGCTGAAACCACAGCGCTTTGTTTTCGGAGGCGCTTCCTGGGGCGCCGCGGCGGGGCTGGGGCCTAGCCGGGGAAGCTCTGCCGGAATGTGGCCCAGCAGCCTCCACTCCCAGGTTGCACTCCCGCCTGCCCGGGCAAGAGCTCAGATTCCTCTGGGCCCGGCCGGAAGCCCTCCGTGCCTCTAAAAGTGCTTCTAGAAATTCTAGGAAGGAGGCGAGGCTCCTTGAGCGAGGGCGTCCTTGAAGCGAGGTTTCCAAACCCTCCAAACTCAAGCCCCCGGCATCTACCACCCGCCGTTCGCAGTCGTGTCACTGGCATGGTGAGGTTTTCGGGAGGCACCCAGGAAGGGCTGGATACTCCAGCTTCCGCGCACCTGAAGTCCGGAGCAGAACCCCGCTGCAAGTGGTTGGCTCTGAACGCGCACATGGCTTGCTTGGCTTGTGCAAGCCACCAGCGCGAAGGCCTGTTCCCGCCCCTCTGGCAGAGATAAACTAAGCATTATTATTGCAAATGCACTCTTTGGATCTGCTCCCCGTGACTGTTGCGGTGTCAAAACCGCCGCCTCCACCAGGCAGCAACAAGGGCGAGACCAATTCCCGCTTTCCCCTTGGTTGCGCCAAAGCGTGCAGCCAACAAGGGCTCTAAGCTGGGACCCCGGTTGAGAATGTCCTGGTGCATCCGCCAGCACAGAGGGTGGGTACCAGATGAGCCCCTGCCTCCACGCATGGTGCCCACAGTCACCGCCCCCTTGGTCCTCCTGTGCAGGGAAAAAAAAAAAAAAAAAAAGGCTCATCATGCGCCCATAGAGGGCTCCGAGGAGGCGCGGGTTGAAGGCAGGGTCCGTGGAGAGGTGGCAAGCTGAATTCTGAGAAGCCGCTCTAACCCTGACCCTGGCGTTGCCCCTCTGTGGTGCAGATGGCACCGGAGTTGAGCTCGAGCAGAGAGCCGTGCGCCCATCCCAGTCCCACCGAGCCTTCCTAGGAGGAAATGCCGGGCCCTGTCGCCCCTACCCCAAGGCGGTGATCCTGTGAAGCTCGGGCCACCTCAGGGTCCAGCGCCCTCAGGGATGGATGGTGTTGGCACGGAGGGACGAGACCGTTCCCTCTCTTTGGCAAACGGAGCAGCTCCTGGCGTGGTTCCCTGCGCAGTCTCCGGGGTCCCCAGGTTGTGATGGGGTGAGCAGGGCGTGTGGCGTGGCCCAGGACGCCAGGCCGGCCCAGAGCACCCGCGCGTTGATCGGCGGGAAGGAGGGCCCGCCCCGAGATTTATGGCCGCAGTCGGGCCCCCTGCGCACCGAGCGCGTCTCGGTCCTCTCCCAGCCAAACACTGGAGTGGAGGACCCGACCCCGGCTGGAGGAAGAGGCCAGGGCCGGAGGCGGGGCCGAGAGAAGCTGGAATCCATCCGGGCTGGGCCTGGCGCATCAGTCCCAATTCTGCCCGCCTTGCGCCCTCGTCTCGGTGAGGTGTGGGGCGCTGGCGCCGCATCCCTGGTCTTCCAGGCAGGTCCGGGCAGCTCCCGGCGGGGTTGGCCTGACCTCGACTTGGTGCTGTACTGCAGCTGGGCCTGTCGCACGCAGCGAGGGGACAGCGAACGTGGCTTTCCTGGGCATAGCCTCTCCAGATTTTAGCCGCGCCCGCCAGACACGGGACCTGCGGAAACCAGCGCTTAAGATACCCGGCCACACACGGCCTCTGAGAGGGCTGCAGAAGCCAGCGATCCCTCGGGGTCCCCTTCACCGAGTTGCTAGCAGACTGGGGGCTTCGGTCACCACCTGGAAAAGGGGTTGGGGCAACCGGCGGAGTGACTCGGGTGCCGCGCCAAGGAAAGGATACTAGATTTTTCCCCTCTCTGGGGGGGATAAGGGGAGAACGGGTCTCAGCGGCAAGCAACACCAGGATTCGGGAAGAACCGGGTTCAACGCTGAATTGAGAGACGCTGTGTAATCGCGGGACTCGCACTAGCCTGGTGCAGGAGACCGAGCCTGCGCCAACTAAAGCGCAACAGGGGAGACGGCCGGGCTCAAGGTTGGCCTGTCCTTTGGTTTTAAAACAAAGAGGGAGAATTTTGTCAGGTGGGACGCGTCCAGGGAGCGGGCGGCCTCGGAACACAGGAAAGGCCTCCACTCCAGTTACCCAGGCTGGCTGCGGAGAAGCGCGCTGGGCCGGGCCTCGGCTAGACTGGGCAGATTCTCCTGCAACTGCGGTTTGGGGTTACAAGGAAGAACCCCCCACCCCCAGCCGATTTTCCACCCACTCAGTGTAACACACACACACACACACACACACACACACACACACACACACAGCTTTTGGCCACCTATTCCGCTGGATAAACAAAAGTATGAGGGGTGGGGTGGGGGAGGGGATGGAATGGGGGTGGGGCACGGAAGATGGCGGCTGGCCCTGGTTGCCTTTGGCCTGTGCCCTATGGCCATGGCGCCTAGGCCTGGTTTTTACATTTCAATGTTGCCCGCCATACTGGGGAGGGCGTTTTCCTGGACCCCGCAGCCTGGTTAGGGATGTCCCAGAGGCTCCTTTCCATGAATGGGGGAGGCTGGACTGTACCCACTACTTCGCTTGGGATCGGTCCTCCGCCCCAAGATGGCTCCCAGTCGCTGTTTACTCAGCGGCTGCGGGGACACCAGGACGCGGGGCTGGGGAGCGGGCGAAGATCAGGGCGCGTACAGATTGGCTCGGGCAGGCGGCCTCTCTGCGTGGCCCGTCCGCGGCCCCGTGCACGCGGCAGCCCTGGAGAATCAGCAGGGGCAGGATGCGTCCCGGGCGTCCCGCCCGGCGGCCAGGAACTGGGAGCCACCGTCACCACCGCGTCTCCAGGCCCCGCACCCCGGCTGGGCTCCGGTGGCTGCAGGGCCGCCCAATTGTGGAGAGGGGCGGTGGGTATGGGGGGAGGGGGCCTCCTTGGCCCTGAACCATGGCCCTAATGAAATACCGGCTGGGTCTGTCACGCCGCCGAGGCGCACACTTGAAAAATGCAAACGCCATTGGCAAATCCAGGGCAAACAGGCAGAATTTTTATTAGCAACTAAATGATTTATGGTACACATACCCCGCCGTCACAATTACGGCGTCTTGGAGCATCCAAGGGGTGAAAACATTAAACATTTATAAAAATAGGCCTTTGTTTTTTTCTACCCCGCAAGCCTTTTGTTTTCCCTAACCCAACTCTCTCAAGATATATATTTTTTTCCTTTAGCAATATTAAAACATCCGCCAAATCCAGAGCGGGGTAATGGGGTGGGGAATTAGGGTCTGGGCTGGGGATCTTGGTGGGTAAAGAAGGTGGGGAGAAAGCGATGGGGCCTTGGGCGTGGGAGAGCTTACTAGGAACACACAAGACCTCTGCATAAGACTCAAGGGCGCTCGGCACCCCCCACACATGGCCCCCTTCCCCCGCCTGGGCTTCCAGCAGCCCCGCACAGCTCGACTGCGTTTATTCGATTCCTGCAGTCCCCTCCTCCCCTAAGGCACACAGACACAATACCTCCTTTCTCTAACCCCCCTCTCCTCTCCGTCTTTGCTCCTGGCCGTCCCGGGGATGCACCGGGCGCCTCCCGCCGCCCCGAATGCCGAGGCCGCCACTGAGACCTGCACGCCCAGCTCCAAACGCAGACACCGTGGCTCGTTCCCCTCAGCTCCGGCTATTTTCGTTCCTTTCTTTCCTTCTCACTCCTCCCTCCTCCCCCAGCGAAGCTCCAGCTTCCAAAAGAGGGCAGCCTAGAAACCAACGCAGGAAGCTCCAGGAAGGGCAACTTGAAACTGCCCTCAAGAGGCTGAACTTTTTTCCTCAAATTTATCCTGGAATTAAATTAGACACCCCCAGTTCGTTCTCGAAGCCTCCCCCACTTTTTTTTTTTCTAAAAGTGGAGAAAAGAAAATAGAACGAATGGGCACTAACTCGCTCATTCCCGCCCCCCCCAGAAAAGTTGCCTTAAAAATTGATTTGAAAAAAAGCAGAACGGGCAATTCGAAAACGCTGAGTCCGCAGCGCGGGGCGAAAGAGCGGGCTTCTCTTGTTTTAATTAAAATCTTATCACCGCAGTCGCTCTCCGAGGTAGGAGCGGAAGGACTTCTGCCCCTCCAAGCTTCCTTTCCAGGGTAGGTAATGCCTAGCTGGGTTCCGGGGCCTGCACAGGGCTGCGGAGAGAGGGTGCGGGGGGCCCCCCAAGACTTTCTTGCTGGCGTGGTCCGCACTCCCTGCGCCCCGGGTCAGGTAGGTCGGCCGCGGGCAGCTCACGGCAACATAACCCAGAAAGGATTTTGCTGAAAGCGCAAAATAAAAGTACAAAGTCTGGGGGATTGGGGTTCCCCTCCCCCTACGGCCGCCGTGGCCAGGCAAGCACTTTTTGGGCTTGGCGGCTGCTTCCTCTGAGCTCAACAGATTTTTTTCTTCCCGGTCTCGCCCTCCCTGGAGGGGGCGCGGCGGATGGAAGGCGAGAGAGGCCCCCAGCCAAGAGGTTTTTAATATTACACTTTAATAGGTTTCAGAAGGCTCCGTGGAGAAATGGTAATAGGCTGAAATGTCAGAATCGAGAGGGATTCAGTTCGCGCTCAGCCGATCTAATCCTTTTTTCTGCTCTGATTTTTTGTTGGTGGGGGGAGAGGGGGGCACCCACGTAAAGAGGGGCTTTGGGGAGGGGCGCGCGGTGCGAAGCGCGGCAGCCCCGGCCTGGACCGAGCGGGGGGCGCACCCCGGTCCGCGTTTCTATAGGAACCCCTTTTAGAAGATTAGAGACTCACCCGCTACCCGCCGCCGCGGCCTCTCCAAAATATTAATCAGTAACCATTTGACACTGCGTTTCAGGGAGGGACCCGCAGGCCAGTGCTAGGAAAACGGCCTTCTCGCCTGCCCATCCCACCCGACCGCCCTGCTGGGGGAGAGGGAATGAATCGCTGCTTTGTATTAAAAGGAAGGAAAAAAACAAGGGAAAAAACAACCCTTGTCTGTTATAGCGTCTCCGCCGCGCGTACTAGAAGCGCACCCCAGGGGAGGCGGGGGCCGGGGGCCCGGGGCCCAGGGCCGGGGTGCAGTCCGCCGGGCCCCTAGGCCCTCCCCGGCTCGCTTGGCTTGTCACCTTCTCCTGCGAGCAGGAAGCTGACAGGCAGCCCATTAAACCGCGCCTTGCAAAGCCCTGGATTGCGGCGACAACCATCTTCCTCTATTTTGATCACTCAGTCCAGACGCTGGGGGAGGGGGAGGAGGAAAAGGGAGGAGAAGGAGAAAGGGGGGGTCAGCGCTGGTGGATGGGGAGGGCTGCCTAGAAACGGCCCGGAAAAATTCTCACCACCAGTTTTGATCATTCAGCCCCGCCGAGGGGAGCCTGAAAACTGCTGGAGCCCCTAGGTCCGTAATTGGTTTTATAGGAATGGCTGTGGGCCAAGGTGTTTACATGAGCGTGATTGGCGGCGCACGCGGCCAATGCGCCGCGGCCAGGGGCCGGGCTGGGGGGGGGGGCGGACGCCCGGGAACAATGCGTGTTTCTTTTTGCCGGAGAGTGCTCCCCTCCCCCAACTCCCTCCAACCCCCCCGCTCCGCGGCCTTTTTTTTTTTTTTTTTTTTTTTTTTTTTTAGATCCAGCGAGAGGAACTTGAAAGGGGGGTTGTGTAATGTACCTTTTCCAATCCCGGGCTGTATATGGAGATTTGGGATTCTTTAAACCGGCGCTACCTGGATTTTATTAAAAAGCGGGGAGCTCGGCGGGAGGAAAGCTGGCTTTTCCGGGGGCTGCGGGAGCCCGGCCGCGGGAGGGCGGAGGAGTAGGCGCGCCGAGCGCTCGGCCCGGGGAGCGGTTTTCTACCAAAAAAAGGAAAGGCGGGCAAAAAGTGTGAGGCGGCTGCGGGTGGCGGAGGGGAGCGGCGGCCGCGGGATGGCGGGCAGCACGGGCGCCTAGCCCCGCCGGTAGCCGGGGCCGCCACCGGAGTCGCTGTCGCCGGAGCCCGAAGCCGGGAACCCAGCCGCGCCAGGTACGCCGCCGGTCAGCCTGCCGGCCCCCGGCCGGGCGCGATGGTCTCCAAACTTCTCCAGCTCGCCCCCCAACCACGCCTGCCCCTCGGGGTGCGCGGGGGAGATCTCCGCTACTGTCCAGCTCCCGATTACAAAATCGGGGACCAGGGTCGGCTGGGAGGGGGCGCCCCGGGAGGGGTGGGGGCGGGCTACTGCGCCCGGGGCGCCCACACGAGCCCCTAGCCCCACTCCGTATCGCCGGGCCCCGCCGAGGGGCGGCGGTTCCTCTCTCGGTTCCCAGTAGGCGGCGGGGGAGCCCGGGACGCCGAGACGTTTTCGATTATAGGCTGTTTTTAATTAAAAGCCGGAATTCAGCCATTTTAACTGCATTTAAGAGGGGGAGAAAAGTAGGGAGAACGCAGCGGATCCCGCAGATGGCCGAGGCAGCTTTGCCAGAGCGAGGGTGTTCCAGGGGGCTTCAACCCGACTTCCCCAAACTGGGGCGCCTGGGCATGCCGCGAGGCGCTGGCTTTTAAAGAAAGCTACCCAAAGAATTTCTTATTAAAAAAAAAATCACGGAAAGCTCATCGCCTCCTTAAGACATGTATCCTCGGATGTGGCGATCTTAGATTTTCCAAAGTAAACGCGGATCTGGTAACCAGAACCTGATGGGAGAGAGCGAGGGAGGGAGGGAGAGGGTGTAAGCAAAACCGGGTTAAAATAGGCACCCTTAGCAAAGTTGGGGAGGGAGGCTGGAGAGGAAGGCCGGCGGGTTTGGCCAGGGTTTTGCAGCCGAGGGGGTCTGCTGCTCGGGGGGCTTGGGTGTGGAGTGCGTGGCGCGGAATGCAGGGCGCCGAACGGACCTGGAGCCGATGGCTTTGGCTCGATTGGCCGCTCTAAGAGCGCCCGGGCCTCCCGGAATCAGGAATGTGAGCTGCTGCAGGCAGACAGAGATAGAGGGAAGGAAGGGTGGGCTCCGAGACCCCCTCCCATCCCCAGGAGAATCGGCAAACGACAAATCTTTTAAACAAACAGCTTTAAACTGGAACTACAGGGGGATTTACCCAACGGTGGGGGAGGCGCCCCTTGGCCGGCCCGCGCGGCAAAGGTTTTCTTTGTAGGTTATTTTGGGGGGGGTGTAAGGGGGAAGCTAGAGTAGGAATGAGACCCTTGATCCCTTTCCTTACCCTCTTGACATCCCCCAAATCCCCCACGCCAGGCCATGTCCTCGGCCTGCAGGATCTCAGGCCAGGGCGTTGGAAAATGAAACCAAAGCTTGTTTTGTAGGATTCTTTCCAGTCCTCAGGCGAAAATGCCACGTCTCTGGTCCTCGGACTCGGGCTCTGGGACTCAGTGTCGGGGGGGGGGGGGGGGGAAGGGAGGACCACTTGCCTTTTTAAAAATAATAAGCCCGCTTTGGACCCTCCCTCCTCCCACCCCCAGAAAAACACCATTTCGTCGGCGGTTCAAGGCGAGCTCAGGAAAAACCAAACTCGGAAAAGGGAGGCGAGGTCTCCAAAAGGTTAAATATTAAACTTTGTGGATTAGATAGTGCCAGAGTGTTTAGGGAGACACTTCGGATCACTCGTGGAAAGGCTTCGGGGTTTTAAACCCCGGAGCCTTTGAGGCCCAGAAATAGAATACACTTAAGAGGTTTGTATTTACGCTGTCCGGGCGCAGCCGAGGAGCCCTTCCCGGTTTCGGGAGGACCCAGCAGCCGCTGACCAGAGTCCGGGCTGGGACGCAGCACGCCACCGCCGCGGGTCACTTTTCCGATCCAGGTCCTGGGAGCCTGAAGCCGCCCGGGGAAGGAGCATGGATTTTTACTTTTCACTGAAAAGGGGCTACTCCCGATTTCATTTCTAGCCATTCGGTCTGCAGTCCCCGATCCAAAAGGTCTAGGCGACTTTCTGAAACTTGTTACTTTATTATTTTTTTCTTTTCTTTCTCCGCTTCTGTTTCTTCCGCGGCCCGTCTACTCCCCGCCAAGACGCCGTGTGTGCCGCCTTGCACAGCTCTGCGTGGCCATCCGGAGGGGCCCTACCGCCAGCCGCCTGTGCGCCCCGGGCCGCCGGCCCGCTGGCCCGCTGGCCCGCTACCGAGCGCAAGCCCCGCTGGCCGCCGCCATGCACGCTGCGGAGCCCCCGCCACCCGAGGACTCTGGGACTACGCCAAGGCCGAACTTTTAGGTCCCACTGAGCAAGGCCTGCGGGCTGAGTGGGGGTCTGGCCGCGGCACTCCCGCGGAGGATGGATGGCCGAGACTTCGGGCCCCAGCGGTCCGTGCACGGTCCCCCGCCGCCTCTGCTCTCCGGCCTGGCCATGGACAGCCACCGCGTGGGCGCGGCCACTGCCGGACGATTGCCTGCCTCGGGCTTGCCCGGCCCGCTGCCGCCCGGGAAGTACATGGCCGGCCTGAACCTCCATCCGCACCCGGGTAAGTGTCCCGCGCGGTGCCCGCCCCCTTCCTGTCTTCCCGGGGAGATCCATTCGGCGGGGTCCTTCTGAGCACTTGCGGCCGGGGCTCAGCGCTTCTCTTTCGGCTGGCCCCGGGGTCCCGGGCGGACTCAACGCCCAGAGCGGGGTAACTCCTGGCTCTGGAGCCAAGGCCAATCCGGCGGCGGAGAGGGGTGCGCGGCTCGGCTGCGTTTTCCCTGGAGCGCCTGGCCTTCGTGAGCCGAAAGCGGGTGCCGTAACTGGAGCCACTAGGGGTGATTCCAATTCCCGGGGGTGCCAGTGGCACGAGCCTGGGTTGGAGTTTTAAAAATTTGGACGAGAAAAGAACAAACCGGTCCCCACACCCTGTGAGACAGCCGCTCTCAGAGCTCGAACCTTTTTTTGGCAAATGCTCCTGTTGGCGCTCTTGGGCCCTCGGTTCTGTTCTCAGCTCTACCACCCGTGCCGAACCGGGTCCCTGGCAGCTCCCGGGTGGCGGGGGATGCGGGAGGACGGTGACCCTAACCCTGGGATCCTTGTTTCGGGGCGGGCGGGATGCCCCTTTCTTCGCTGAGAGAACGGCAGCCTTGGGAACCTGTACCCCGGTAGGAGGGCGGCTACCTCCACCCTCGGGGACCCCTTGTTCTCCGGCGGGAAAGAGGGTGCAGAGGCGCGGCGTGGACGCCGAAACGGGGCCACTATGGTCCCGAACCCAGGGGAAGGGAGAGAGTGGGTCGGGCCAGGCCCGGGTGGTGGAGGGGAAACCCTGGGTCTCACATGAAGTCGTGCTAGGAGGTGGGGGAGAAGGCCCTGTGGCGTCCGCCATTTCCCGAGAGGGGCTGCCTGGGCGCGGTGGGGACGTTTCCCGGGCGGGAGACTCTTGCTCTGGTCTGTCCACGGCCGCTGCAGCCGGGCGGGGCGGGTAGGAGACTCGGGGACCTTCAGACCTGCCCAGCAGCCGCCCCAGGACACCCGGTCCCTCCTCCTCAGGCTGCCTCTAGCTTTTGTGCTTGGCGCCCCAAGTTTCAACTTAAGAAAAATCCATCTTCTCTTCTCCCAATTGCAATTTCGGATTTTGCGAATTCAGAGGAGCCCGGCCTTCCACCCCCCCCCCCCCCCCGCCCCTTCTCCTTGAGGGTCTTGCAGGAGACACCCCTGGCCCGGAGCTGCTGCCTCGGCCTTGCCCCGCCCGCTTGGCGGAGCTCGCGGATTTTGTCTCTCTTTGATTTTTCTCCTGGAACTTTTCAGAAACTGGAGTCCTGGGGGCTCCAAGGGACAAAGGGCCTTTGTGAGGCACCACGCGGGGGAGGGGCACGCCCCGGGGCCTGGAGCTTGGAGATCCCCGCCGGCCGCGGGCTGGGGCGACAGAACGAGGCCTTGGCCCCGGAACCTGCTTGTGTCCCTCCGGAGCTGGGGGCTCATTCCGCCCAGGCTCTGCGACCAGGGCAAGGGTTTGTTCCCGAGTGGCGCGTTGTGGAGAGGAAGGGGCGCGGGGGACCCCCGAGGAAGAAGTTGGAGGCGGCTCTGGGTTACAGAGGCTGTCCGAGCTGTCCCCTTTTGCGCTCCTCACAAGTCCACCGCGATGTGTGTGTGCGCGCACGTGTGTCGGGGTCATTTGGTCCAGCCCAGGGTGGTGGCGGGCCCCCCAAGCCTGGGAATCGGAGCCTGGGTCTCCCTGTCTGGCTGGGCCTGTGCTTTTGCGAGGCTAGGAAGGGGCGTCGTGCACTTCCTGCCTGGGATCTGGCTCCGGCCTGGCAAGGCAAAGTGCCCTAATGCGAACCGGTGAAAACAGCCACTACTCATGCAAGCCTGCACCGTGCCAGGGCCGCGCCTAATCTGACGCAGCAGTCAGACGGCCTATTGCCCATTTGCTGGATGGGGAGTCTGAGGTGGGGGGAAGGCCAAGCCCCCAGCCTCGGAAGCCTAGCGGGAGGTAGCCTTGGAGCCCGGCCTTTCTGCACCTCCTGTGCTCGCTCAGAGCTGTTTGACTTCTGCAAGCCGAGGTTGGGGAGGACAGCAGGAGGGCTGCTGCCGCCCCCTGAGCCCCGCGCTCACCCGGGAGGGAAAGCTCGGGGTGGTGCTGCTTTTGGCTGCTCTCCTCCCGCACTTCAAGTGGCCGCTCGGGAGACCTCGGACCCCAGGCCAACGCCCAGAGCCAAGCCTGTGCTAATCCCATTAGCCAAGAGGTGGGAGCTGCTCTCATTCACTCTGCTTGGGGCTGGGCTGGATTACACATTCCTCAGCCCAGCACACCCTCCCCCTCGAAGGTTTTCTTTGTGAGGTGCAGGTGTTAAATTTTCACTTTTTGCGCACCTCCCTCTCTTCCTTGGCTGTCGCCACCTTAGGTCTTGCTAGCGTTATCAGTCCCATCTTTATTTATTTTTGTACCGGGAAGTCCTGAGAGGTTGAGCCACTTGCTTGGGGTCACACAGCTAGGGAGAGGCACACTACTATTGGGCTCTTTAGAGGTGAATGAGCGCTGCCAGGACTTGTAAAGCTCCTCCTCGGCCGAGGGAGGTTCCCTGGAGAGAGCTCAGAGCTGGAGGGGCCCTCGGAGAAAGATCCTCGGGAGGAATCCCATCCAAGCTAGTATCGACAGCCATCTGCTGAGGAGGATCTCCTGGAATAGCTCGTTTCTACCTTACTGGTCAAGACGGAGGGATTTGGCCTCTACCTCTTTGGATTTGGCTTCTTCCTCTGCAGAAGAGGAGGTGAACTCAAGAATGAATGGGGTTAGGGAATCAGGAAAGGGTGGTTTTTAAGTTTCCTAATAATTTGAGTCTTGCTACATTGTGGACAAAATAGTCACAGCCTGATCCGGGAAATGGACATGTAACTGACAAGCACCTGGGGCTTGGCTCTATGCTCTGGGGTTGGGAGGCCTGGACTCAGTTGTCCTCACAGGCTGCAATTAAAGAGCTATTAGTAGGATTTTGTACTTGGATTCTCCTTGCCCCCACACCCTAGGCTGGCCCTGGGAGGGTACATGAATAGAGGGTAGGACCCAGGGATCTGGGTGGGGAGGCCCTGCACTCTGGCCTGGCCAGCGGTCAACAGGGTGCCGTAGGCCTTCTCCAGGGTCTGATCAGCTCCATCTCTGGAATCCAGTTTGTCAGCATACTGGGATTGATTTAGAAAGATTTATCAGTGAGGACCGCTGGCAGAGTGATAGAGAGATAAGGACGGTTTACAAGGGACTTCCTTCTCTGGTCAGAGGTGACAAGGGAGGTCCTGGGAGAGTTCTGGAATCTGGAAGGGCCTCTGATGGGTAGAAGGGCTGTCTCCCCTGGTTCTTCAGCTCCTAACCCCAGCACTTTCCTTCTTTCCTCACTTGCTCATTTACTCAGCAAATAATTTCCAAGAGCTTCCTGCGTGCCAGGCACTGCTCTTGTCCCAGGAATGCGGTGAACCCAGCAAACAGAAATCTCTGCTCTCATTGGAGCTCACGTTCTTCTGGGGAGTCAGGGACAGTGAACACACAAATCTGAGAAGGAAATTATTTATATATATTTTTTGAGATAGGTTCTCACTCTGTCACCCAAGATGAAGTGCAGTGGTATGATCTCGGCTCACTGCAACCTCTGCCTCCCAGGCTCAGTCCATCCTCCCACCTCAGCCTCCCAAGTAGCTAGGACTATAGGTATGTGCCACCATGCCCTGCCAACTTTTTGTATTTTTAGTAGAGATGGAGTCTTGCTATGTTGCCCAGGTTTGTCTTGAACGCCTGGGCTCAAGAGATCCTCCTGCCTTAGCCTCCTGATAGCTGGGACACAGTGTCGCAGTCTCAGCTCATTGCAGCCTCTGCCTCCTGGGTTCAAACAATTCCTCCGCCTCAGCTTCCCGAGTAGCTGGGATTACAAGTGTACGCTGCCACACCCAGCTAATTTTTATATTTTTAGTAGTGATGGGGTTTTACTATGTTGGCCAGGCTGGCCTCGAACTCCTTGCCTCAAGTGATCCACCTGCCTCGGCCTTCCAAAGTGCTGGGATTACAGGTGTAAGCCACCATCTCTGACCTAATTTTAAAATTTTCTATAGAGACAGGGTCTTGCTATGTTCAGCTGGTTTCGAACTCCTGGGCTCAAGAGAGCCCTTCCTGCCTCCGCTTCCCGAGTAGCTGGGACTACAGTCCAGTGCCACTGTGCTTGGCTAAGCAAATGATTTTTTAATTTTTACTTTTTGAGATGGAGTCTTGCTCTGTTGCTCAGGCTGGAGTGCAGTGGAATGATTTTGGCTCATTGTAACCTCTGCCTCCTGGGTTCAAGCGATTCTCCTGCCTCAGCCTCCCTGAATAGCTGAGATTACAGGCGCCCACCACTATGCCCAGCTAATTTTTGTATTTTTAGTAGAGACGGGGTTTTGCCATGTTCAGGCTGGTCTTGAACTCCTGACCTCAGGTGATCTGCCCACTTCGGCCTCCCCAAATTCTAGATTACAGGTGTGAGCCACCACGCCCAGCCAGCAAATGATTTTAAAAAGTAACCTAGGTGGGCGGATCACCTGAGGTTAGGAGTTCAACACCAGCCTGGCCAATAGTGGTGAATCCCTGTCTCTACTAAAAATAAAAAAAAAATTCGTTGGGCATGGTTGTGGGTGCTTGTAGTCCCAGCTACTCGGGGAGGCTGAGGCAGGTGAATTACTTGAACCCAGGAGGCAGAGGTTACAGTGAGCCAAGATCATACCACCGCACTCCAGCCTGGGTGACAAAGGAGATTCTGTCTCACAAAAACAAAAACAAAAAAAACTAGACCAGAAAACAAAATGTTAAAGGTCTGGTCTGCTCTAAGAGGTGAGGGGCTGTATCAGCACAGCCCACCCCCACCTGACTGATTTGGAGGGGTGACTTTTCTCCTGCATGCAAAGGGCAGAAAAGTGTGGTGAAGGTGGACAGAACACAGAAACCAGAGCGCCTGGTGTGTCTGAGCTGGCAGAATGGCTGGAGCTGGTGGGAGGGGATGTGGGGGAGGCGGGATCCTTCAGGTCTCTGAAGGCCTGTCATGA